TACTTGTAGCTCACATTCATAAAGCCAGGATGGTTTGCCACTTCATTTTACCCGTTAAAGTATGCTTGTAGGTCACATTCAGAAAGGTAGCATGGTTTGGCACGTATTTATACCGGTCAGAGTATGTGTCTAGCTCTTATTAACAAAGGTAGGATGGTTCGCCACTTAATTTTAGCTGTTAAAGTATGCTTGTACATCACATTCACAAAGGTAGGACGGTTCGCCACTGAATTTCGTGTTGTGCGCATGCGTAGAAACAACGGGTAGGGTGGTTTGTCAGGTAGGATGGATTCCCAGAACACCTGTTCGTTTTAAGAAAACTGGGCACTGGGTCTGAAATGTTTGTTGTTCTCAAACAGTGAATGCAGCACGTTTATCAAAGTCCGTGAACTCAACATCACACTGAGTGTTTCAGAACAAACATCAGGCGAATGTGAAGAAAGTTCAGAAAAAAGCAGGGATCGAGCATGTGTCCTGCTCCACAGTTCAAAGAAGGCGAAGCTCCAAAAAGATGAAAAACTTTCTCCAGGTTCTCATGCTCTGTTTGCCCCCTCACAGGGAACAGGTAGCGGGTCTGAGGGCGGGGGGAGGAGGAGGAGGAGAGGGAGCTGTCGTGCTCCGGGTTCCTCCTGCACTGTTTTTGCGCGCAGCGATGGAAGCGGTGCGCCTGCTCCCCCTCCTCCTCCTCCTGGGATTCTCCGTGTCCTCGTCGGCGGTCTGGGACCTGGTGCTGCTCCACACCAACGACGTACACGCTCGTGTGGAGGAGACCGACGTTAACTCCGGGAAATGCGGCGTTAACGGGCAGTGCTTCGCCGGCGTGGCCCGGATAGCCACGGAGGTCAAAAGGATCCGCAGCACCGAGAACAACGTGCTGCTCCTGGACGCCGGGGACCAGTTCCAGGGTACCGTGTGGTTCAACTTCTACAAGGGGGCCGAGGCGGCACACTTCATGAACAAGCTGCGCTACGACGCCACGGTAGGAGCGCCTCCTGTCCTCCCCAGCTCCGCTGTTCAGGTCCTGTAGATGCTGGGTTAACTGAGTAATGCTGAGTAATCAGATTACTCTCTATGGTAGTGATCGTAATTACCCGTCCCACACAGACATGACCCCCATCCACCTCCTTCATCTGCTCTCTGGTGCCAGACAAACAAGGATTGAGGGGGGATCTAATGAAGTTCAGTGGAGGACTGAAATTTAGAAAATGTTTCTGAGCTGATGAGATCCAAAGTTTGAAGAAAAAAGCACAAAACACCGTCTGAACAACATTCAGATGGTCTGATCTGATAATTACCCAAATAAATTACTGCAAGATCCTAATTGCTTTTATGCCTTTAGGGGCTTTATTGAAATGTTAGCATGAAGATGAAGAGCAGGAATATAAGCATCTCAAACACAATTTTGATCTCTGCAGAGATGGTGGGGTCCAATCATCGTGCTGGTTTTAATTGGGAGAGGCACACGCAGGACTGCACTCAGTGAAAGGCTTGATTTATTGGTTCAGGGTTAAAGGCTGCACTCGATTTTAATTCATCTAATTATTTATTGACGGATCAGCTTCTTCTCTCTTCTGCTTTTTAACTCTCAGATAGAATCAGAGATCCAAGTTTAGAGTCTCCATTTAATTTACTTTTGGTCAAAAGTAAATTGGCTCAGCAAGTCTAACCCTCTCAGGCTCAAATTAAACTTTTTGTTGCTAATGCACAACCAAGTCCTGCAGTGGTACTTCTGAGTAAAAAAAAAACTCAGAAAATATGTATGTGGGCTAATCAGGTTGTTAGTTTTTAACTGTTGCAAATCGGCAACGCCTGCCTCGAGAGGGTTAAACATTTCGTCTTTTAAATTGTGAAAGTGGGAAGAAGGATTTGTTTCTAGCGGCCAAGAGAGCTAAATGTTACACAGCTGAATAAAAGTTCATGAATGAAAAATAAAAACACATTACATTTAATTAATTTATGTGACAATATGAATAACCTCACTGTGAGTACACAACAAAGCAAGTTTCCATAAGGCAAAACAATTTGCGGCTTGGTGAAACACTATGCCCACTTAAACTCACACCATCCAAATTTGAAGGTCATCTTTGCCCCAGTCAAAGGTTTTTGGTTTGGCCTGGAAACTCCAGCCCATCTCCTGTCATCGTTCACCTTCAGAGGCTTCAGGGTGTTTTACTAGACGTTTCTGCACAAAGTGTCACCTCAGCAGCTGAATTCAAGGTGTACAATCCTGCACGGCAAACTCCTAAATAAGCGCTTGTGAGCTGATGAGCCACCTCCAGGCTTAAATGTGGCCTCTTCCACTAACTCTGCTGTTTGGTCTCCGAGTTGTTTGCTGAACTCTGATCACCAGAAACAGAAACTACACCTGGGCAGTTTAACAAGGTTAAAGTTTTCTTTGTATGAAGGTTTGAGGTCTGTGGTGAGTTTATAGAAGTGCAGGAAGTGCACACAGAAAGAACAAAGGAGCTTTATAGATCCCGTACGCAATCATGCAGAGTACAACATGTAGTGAAATGTGTCGTGTCCGAGCTGCGGACGTAGCCGCAGCATTCCATGGCTTGGTGTTTTGGCATGGGGGGCCTAGCCAGGACCCTTACTGTATACTGGGAGGGAATCTGACTTGCGGCTTCTTACCACTACACTATCCAGCTGCAGCAGGATTTTTATTTTAGCCCCAAACACTGAAACAAGAAAAGAATTAAGTTTTCAGAAGAAATTCTGTCTATATAACCAGAACAGGTTCAAAAGCAAGATAAGGTTTTTCATATGAAAGCAATGTTTGAGAAGGTTCTGCGGTTTTAGTCGGTGAGTGGACGGCTTCATGGCCATGGGTGATGTGAAGGCAGTTACAGTGGTGCAAACCAGAAGAAACTGAAGGACAGAGCATGAGCTTGGTTGGTGGGGTGTTTTGAGTAACAACCAGCTTCTGCTGATCAGTCCGTTCTTTGTCTCCAAGCTCTTCATTCCTTGTTTTCTTTTTCAGGTTTTTGGGAACCACGAGTTCGATAACGGAGTCGAAGGACTCATGAAACCGTTCCTGGAACAGATCAAGTGTCCCATTCTCAGTGCTAACATCAAACCGGACCACACTCTGAACGCAACGTTTGGGATCACTTATTTACCTTATAAGATATTTACCATTGGCAGAGAGAAGGTGGGCGTGGTGGGGTACACCACACAGGAAACACCGGCTCTCTCCAAGCCTGGTAAGTGGCTCCTCTGAGCTTCTGACACATTTACAGTAATGTGAAAAAACTCCCATGGAAACTGTTTAATGGTTTATTAATGAGCAAATACATCAGTGGATGTAGTGTTTTCCAGTGAAAGGAAGTAACTGGTATCAGGAACTGGGATCACACTTTAATTTGGAAAATAACACCACAGCATTTCCATGAGGATTAAAACCCAAGCTCTGAGTTGGGCCTTTCCATAATCCTCCATTCATCTTATTTATTAAGATCCTTTTAAATCAAGGTTACAAAGTGTTTCACTGGACAAGATTGGAAACAACCATCAAATAAAACATCTAAAGTACAATGCATTTTAGATGTTGTTAAGTTCAAATATTGAGGAGGGATACAGGAGGTAATCAACTTCCATAATAACAACACTGGTCCGGCTGGGTGGAGTCAAACGATGATTTTAATGACACGTGTGGGAAGACCGCCCGCTGTACGCAGACAGCGCCGATCCCCAACTTACAGAGCATAAGCAGGTGTTTTATACCTTCCAGGGCTTAAATTTACTGACGCCCTTAAACGTCACTCAGACATACAAGTTATACATAGATAGGATTCATAATCACAATGACTCTTAACACAATTAAAGATAACACTGTCTCCGTCTCCACGACATATGTTTCCTGTCATCTGACTTTCACTTCCCGTCTGGAAAACCTCTTTTTGCAGAGACAGCAAGAAACTATTCCTCTTTTACAGAGACAATTTTAGAGTTACAAGCAAACATGATTAACCTCTCACCTATAAATGAGATAAAGTCTACTGTGTGTGTGTCAGCATGAACTGCACTCAGTTTCAACTTGTAACATTTTCCACCAGACAGAAGGCCAGCACGTACACATTTAAGATTATAACAAGCATTCAAAAGCATTTAAGATTATAGATTCAACTCAACAGTTTAGAGTGGTTATAACTGCACCTGTAATAAAGGCTAATTGGGTACCAATATGTTTAAACATCTGAATACAATATCAATACTGCAGATTGTATTATTAATGCAATGGTAATGATGATGATTATTAGCAATAGCAGTAAAATAATTTCTAATTGCTCACAATGTGTTCTGGTAATGACTGCACCCTGGCGCAGTGGAGAAACCCCACAGCAGAACATTTCCACTGCCATGCTTCACAGTTGCTGTGAAGTTCTTCTTAAAGCTCTTTGTTTCAAAAAAAAGCCAGCTGGGGCTGTGGCCAGACAAGAAGACCATTGATCCATCTGCCCAGGTCACGTGACTTCAGAAGGCCCATTCTGTGTTGCAGTTGAGTATTTATTTCCCCAGGAAGCTTCCCGTGGAGGTCAGATTTGTTCAGATGTGCCTTTGATACGAAGACTGCAGATCTGCTGGTGATGTTTTGGGGCTCCTGAAGACTTCCGTGTTTGAATGAGCTGCGACGGCCGGTCCCGGGTGTTGGAACGTACAACATTTATTGTTCCTTACAATGGGATGAATATACTTTGTTGTCTAACTCGACATATTTTCTTCCACCTCTCTAACAGCTGTTAAAACATCGTTGTCTGTTGGCCACCAAATGGTCTTCAGGCCTGCATGAACACTGAAATAAGGACAGGACATAGAAATACTGTGTTCTTCTTCCTCTTCACAGAAGTTTGTTGGTCACCGCAGAAATAACTGTTACTTATGATAAATCACAGATATAAATATGAAAATAGTGCCTGTGCTGTTTTTTGGATTTGGCTGAAAAGCAGACCGACATGCACAAACTGACCGGTGCCAGTGTTTCTCCCCAGGACCTCACCTGCAGTTCCTGGACGAGGTGACCTCTCTACAGGTACAGGTGGACAAACTTCGGACTCTGGGGATCAATAAGATCATCGCTCTCGGTCACTCTGGCTTCACTGTAGATCAGATGATCGCCAAGAAGGTCCGTGGGGTCGACGTCGTCATCGGCGGACACACCAACACGTTCCTGTATACAGGTAGGAAGGCGGATAAAGCTGTCACATCTGTCACCTACACTGTGGGTCTCACACTATTACTGAAGGCTCAGGCAGTTTTTAACGATTTAAACTGATCAGCAGGTTATTTAATGCATTTAAATAAAGTTTATTTTGCTTGTTTTATGTTTCTTTTTTTTAAGTAATCTATTTCAGTGGTCTGTCAGTGTTGTAAGTCCTACAATGCTGATTAGCATTATAAGTGAAACAACAGATTTTACTTAGACGGGTAAAATCCTCCTCATACCTCAGCGGATTTTGCTCTGTTAATTGTCACGCGGTAAAAACAGTGACCTGATTTTTCATCCAACCAATCTTAGTTTTGTTTTTTCGATCTGCTGCTGTGGCTCTGCTCTTTCATGCATCTTCATGAGCAAAATCATTTACATCTTGCTTCATGCATTTCATTCTCCCGCAGTCCATCTCTGTGAGGCATGTCTTTGTTTCTTCATGGGAGGAAACTTTGAGTCTTCATCCTTCTGGCTCGCTTTGGAGTAAACAGGCTGTCTGTGCGAGTGAGCCTCTTATAAATAACTCTGGAGAGTTGCATGTAAATGGGCAGGACGAGGTTTGGACCTCTAACTGCACAGAGATGTTTTCCTGCAGTGTGGAACTGCCTTCACTTAGAGGCTTGGGCAGCGCTTCATCACTATTTGGGGATCAGGAAGGAAGAGAGTCCTTGAAGTCTTCCTGTTGTGCTGATGTTGTGCAAACCTGCACAGTAAATTGGACTTGTGTTTAGACAGCCAAGCATCATTAATCAGCGTTGGTTAGTGCATATTCTAAACGTTGCTCTTTTTAGTCTTTAGCTTCTTCGTGATGGAAAACATTCCCCTGGAAGTGTCACGAATGCACAGATTAGACCTCAGAGCAGTGAAAGGATGTTACTGAAGAACAGGAGAGTAAAAAAAGAGAACTGTTTGGAATTTCATTGAATAAATGAATGAATATTTCTAAGTGCAGATTTCACATCTTTGTCTTGGAGTGATGTCACAAACAAGTTTAATCTACCCGATCAAACTGAGTTGATATCAGACTAGAAGAAGCTCTTTGAGCCGCCTGCCCAGGTCACATGACTTCAGAAGTCCCGTTCTGTGCTGTAGTTTTGAGGCTTCTTTTCAGGAAGATTCCCGTGGAGGATGAATCTTTTCAAATGTGCCCTTTGACACAAAGAGCTGAGAATGTTTTGGGGTTCCTGGAGACTTCCAGGTATTCTGAAAGCCTCATTTGATGCAGTTTCATCCTTCATTTCTGAGAAACTGCCGCGTGATTAAGTGATGAGATGTTTAGACCATTAATGGAAGACCAGCTGACAACAGTTTTTACACTTTATGATGTGAATTACTGCTTTTTAAAAAGTGTGGTGAACATGTTTTAGTTGTAGGAAAAAAAATCTGCGTGTAGTTTATATTCAATAACTTAAATAATTCAAGTTTATATTCAGAAAACTTATAATTTTTTACTTTCCATCTTTTGTTTTTTCTGCTCTGTTTTTCCAGGAACTCCTCCCTCTACTGAAGTCCCAGCCGGTACGTATCCCTTCATGGTGACCTCAGAGGACGGGCGAAAGGTTCCTGTTGTGCAGGCCTACGCCTTTGGAAAATATCTGGGTTATCTGAAGGTCTCTTTTGATGATGCTGGGAATGTAGTGAAGTCAACTGGAAACCCCATCCTCTTGGACAGCAGCATCAAACAGGGTAATGAAGCAGAGTCTGCCATCTTTGTTCTTCATTTTCTGTTTTTTACCAGATTCTTAGTGCCGTCTTTGTGCTGTTGGAGGATTTCTGATTGTAGTTGTCACAGGGTGACAGGGCACATGAGGGATCTCTGGCGTCTTTTGTGGATGTTTTGCCTCAGCAGCTGAAATCTGAATGTTCCTTGAGAGAGTTTGTGGGATCTTTTATCTTCTACTTGGTGCAAATTGGACAAATCTGATTGGCTGTCACATTTGGAGCTCACATTCTTTGAATGTATTTTGCCATTTTTGTGCTATGGTTCTGGTTTTAAATTTCATGAATCGCACAAAAGCCCCTGGGACACCTTCCGAGCTGCACAGCCGTTGATGTTAAAAGAACATGCTGTTATGCATTAAAATTGAAGCTTCTACCCATGTCTATTACTGTGCTACAGAAGGCGTATAAAAGATGAGTGCGCTCACTGTCGCCGCCGTCTTTTATTAGTGTAATGTTGGCCGTAATTTACATAGCAATCAAATATCAAACCTTCTTTAGTATTCAGTATAATTTGAAGCTACAATATGATACCATCAGTTCATCAGGAAAGTCTTTAAGGTCACAGATAAGGGAGGCAAGGACCATTTTCCAATTATATTTGTCTTTTGCAACCCCTGCTGATCATTAGCAAGAATCCAGGTTAAAGGCACTTCCATACTGACTTCATTGTTTAGATCCAGTCTCTACGTCCATCTTTTATACTTGCTATGCTGAAAATTGTGGATTATGGGGAGAGTAAGGACTTATTAAATGCGCTGGTTTTTTATGTAGCATGTTTTTCTATGTCTTTCTATCCAGCACTCACGGTCTAATGAATGCAGGCATTCATTAGACTATGAATCTATCTATCTTGCCCAAAGATACTTTTTGGCCACCACCAACCTTCACATTAGTGGGTGGCCTGATCCGCCTCCTGAGCTACAACCACCTGTGAGGATCCACACTCAAAGTCCCCATCTTGTCATTAACCCGAGGATTCTGTCGTGAAGAATTTTTATGACCTTGTGTATGCTTGCAAATAAAATTAGCTGCTGTCATGTGCATATACCAAAGCTCTGCTTTTTGCAAACAGACATCTTTTTTTATCAGATTGTTAATTTTTTTATATCAGAAGATTGTAAAAGAGAAGCAGGGAGCTTGGATGGAGTGGAGTGGATTTTAGTCGGTCAGACAGAGTGGGTTATGTAAATGATGTGTAGATTAGGAGCTTGGTGTCAAAGCAGTAACGCAGGCATTTAAAACTGTTAACTGCTTGATTGTTTTTAAAACTGAATAATGTCTTGCACAGATTCGGAGGTGCTGGCTGATGTGGAGGAATGGAAGAAGAATCTGGCCAACTACTCGGCTCAGGTGGTGGGAAAGACTCTGGTCTTCCTGAACGGGTCGACTCAGGATTGCCGCTTTAAGGAATGCAACCTGGGAAACCTCATCTGCGACGCCATGGTGAGCCTTTATAGAAGTACTATTATGTTCCTCCTCCTAGCTTTCAGAGGCTTGTAGCTGAGGGTTAGCGGTTAGCATCATCTCCATGAATCAAACTTCAGACTAACTCCAGTTTAGCAGTTTAGGCAGTGCTATCTGTTCCAAAGTTCCAGAACTATGAATTAAACAGTATAAAGGCACTATAACAACGGCTAGCATATACATCTGTCAGAGGTAGAGAAGTTGTAGCAACATGCCATAGATCCACATGTGACCGAGGAAATCTGCTTCCTGTTTCTGTTCCTCAGCTCGACAACTACATCAGTTTCTCAAATGATGTCCAATGGAACCACGTCAGTGCCTGCATCTTGAACGGAGGAGGCGTTCGGGCATCTATCGACGAGCACACAAGGAATGGTGAAGTCAAATAAACATAGAGCTGTATTTCATGTGCAGAGTCAGAACATTGGGACAACCTGTTATTGACTACTTGGGATTTTTCTTCAAAGCAGTTTCTGATTTGTGTCAAGAGGATTTTATAAAACTGTTTTCTGTGATGGATTTCCTGTAGGTTCAATCACAATGGAGGACCTGATAGCCGTCTTACCCTTTAGCGGAACCTTTGACCTGGTGGAGCTAAAGGGCTCCACGCTGAGGAAAGCTTTCGAACACTCGGTGGAACGATACGGCCAGAGCACCGGAGAGTTCCTTCAAGTGTCCGGTATCTGCACGTTTACATCTACTCTGGTTATTTGGTTCATACAGAAATATCAGCGGGGGTTTTTTATGGCACACAATTTTAATTGATGTCCAGTGGAACCATGTGATCCTCTGACTTTTACTCTGGTGCAGCTTCGAAGTGCACAATTGTGATTTTGTTGGTACAAAGACTTATGTCATTGCCCTCCAGCACTTTCACTTCATAATTTCAGGTAGTCCAATATGAGGTTCAATAGGTTACTCAATGTCACTATAAAAGCCATACATTCTCTGATGTTCCCCTTCAACATCATCTTCCTGTGTATCTCTGTACAACTTCTGTACACCTCCACAAAGAGTAGATGAGCTAAACTTATATAAGCCTTCTTTTTACTCTTTACATCCAGAACTGGGTCTGTTCGATTGCATCTCATTTTGGACAGATTCAATTTTTAATATGACGATGGTACCGGATGGGAAGAGTTCAGTAAAGCATCTAAATCTGTTGAACCTGAACTTTTTTGAGAAACCCTGAAGTAGGAAGAAATCTTTGGGGGAACATTGGGTTTGCTTTGGATAATAAAACCATTAGATAACATTTCCACAGCCTACCCATTCCTGCTGCTTTGGATTTGCTCTCCCTTTTAAAATACCTGTTTGTGTTCAGCTTATTAGAACAGTTTTTCGCTCATCCGGCCAAAGGAACAATGAGCTTAAGCCATTTCAAAGCAACTATCTCTCCAAATTTCACAGTGGCGCCCGCTGCTATATTATTGGTCAGAATCTAATCAACTTCCATACAGTGTTCACCAAAAAATGGGTTTTCACCCAAACTGGCCACATTTGTTGTTTTATAAAAGCCTGTGAATTGTAAAGGATCCTGAGCCACATGAGCTACTGCATCATTGATATTCTGGTTTAAAGTTACACAGTCTTCTTCATTCAGATGAAGAACTGTGAAAGTTTGACCTGGAAAGATGGACTCAGTGTACATGTAGATGGTGTCATTACTTAGTTTTTAGATTGTGCCATCAACATTTGCCTCATTGAGAAAACTTAAAGCAAATTCTTGTCTTTTGCAACGCAACAGAATCTGAAGCTATGAATAACGTGGATGCACAGAACATCAGCTACATTTGATAGATTGTGTCCTACTTACTTAAATCCAGTGTTGAAAAGCACAGCGTGCCTCAAATGTTGTCCAAGTACTAGAAACCAGGCAAGAACTTTAAAATATCATTATCTGGTTGGTTTCAATCAGGATCTATCTGACTCAGGAATTAGTCAGCACCAGAGAGACACCTGAGTACTCTGTTGTGTCAAGACTCTCTCGCCACATTATACATATTCCACATGTATAAGGAGCTGGAGAGAACGTTCTCTGTTCTTACTCTCCGGCTTCCCGTACAGTACATCTGATTCAGACTGATAGTGTCTTTGTTTCCTCCAACAGGAATTCGTGTAGAATTTGACCTCTCCAAACCACCGCAGCATCGTGTCAAAAGCCTCAGCATCCTTTGCACCAAATGCCGCGTTCCTGTCTATGAACCCGTCGAGAATGAGATGGTTTACAAGGTGGTGCTGCCGTCATACATGGTGACAGGAGGCGATGGATTCTCGATGATCAAAGACGGGTTCCTCAAACATAACAGCGGTGAGGGTTTTGTTAGTCTTGCGCTTGGTTTAATGTTTTTCCAGCGCTTCTTTTCACACTTGTTTCTTTTGCTTCCAGGGGATTTGGACATTTCAGTCGTGTCAAGATACATCACACAAAGAAAACAAGTTTATCCCTCTGTCGAAGGACGCATCAAGCTGTACAACTCAGCTGCTGGACTTGAGGGCCAAACAGCTTCCCTGGTTTTTATGGTTTCACTCGTGCTTCTCTGGAGTTTCCGTGGAAACATCTAACTTTTAAAAACTGTTTTCAAAGGCAGTGAAACCACGACGGATTAAAATGATGTAATCATGTAGGACTGGGAGAACTTTCTTCATAAAATACTGACATTAATGACTAATATTTTTTTATAACGAAAAGGGAAGCCCCATGTCAGTGTGGTAATATCGTTCACTTCCATCTAGGAACAAATGTGGACAAAAGTGCAAAAAACGCAGCCAAGAGTTGAAACAAGTGCTACGGTTTCTCCAGTAATCACTGGCAGCCTCGAGGGAAAAAAAGTGCTGTGGTCAGAAGAAAAAGTGTAAAATATCTTTTGTGTATAGTTATAACTCTCGTCTTCCGTATACTTCGGCCTCAAAATGAAATCAGCACCATCAAGGCTTTTTGTGTTTGATGTTTTTTAAGCTCTGCTAACTGTGAGATCCGGAGGAACCATCAGACTCCCCCACACCACACCATTAGCCAGATACCTGCCTACTGTGGCAGATGCACAGTGGTATTAATATTTTGCACATTTGGGTACTGACAGGTATTGCACTGCTAAGCTGGACAGCGCCGCCATTTCATAATAAACATATGGTAAAAACTGAGTGTGTGTGTTGAGTGTTTCGCTGTTAGCTGGTGAAAAGCTGGTCATTTGGTCTTTCTACCAAAATGGACCAGAGTGAAATACAGAGATTGTGTGTGTTTGTGTAGTGTGGTGTGGTGTGGTGGTGGGGACTTGCATATATTAGATGTTTCAGATCATCAAACTTTTTTTTAACATTGGACAAAGATAACCTGAGCAAACACAGTTTTTAAATCGTGATTTCATTTATTCAGGAAAAACAGCTATCCAAACCTACCTGCCTCATGTAAAAACAAGTAGTTATCCCCCCATGATTCATGAATTGACTGTAATAAAGAAAACATTTTGAAAAAGTTTAGTTTCACTGCTACACCCAGACCTGATTACTGCCAGACCTCTTAAGAAATCACTTCAAGAGAACACATGGATGACTCATCTAGGTGGTCACAGGAGAACCAGAACAACATCTGAACAACTGCAGGCCTCACTTGGCTCAGTTAAGGTCAGAGGTCATGATTCAAGAATGAGAAAGAGATTGGCCAAAAATAGCCTCCGTGGGAGAACTCAAGGAGAAAACCACTGCTGACCAAAAAGATCACGATGACTCGTCTCATATCTGCCAACAAACATCTGGGAAAATATTCTGCGGACTGATAAAGTGTGTGTTTTTCCACCTTGAGCAATCACCAGTGAAACACTTCTTTTGATTATTTATCAAAGCATTGAATGTTTAAGACAGTTCGCTGCAGCCAACTTTCCAGAAGAGCTTAGCCTCCCTAGCAGTTCACAGAGCTTTATATGAGAATGTGCATCTATCTAACCGGTTAAAACTGGTGGAGTGAAGCTGCTTGTTTTGCAGGCCCTGAGCTAAGAAGTGGCTATGATGGATATCAGGTACCAGTCATCGTGTCTACAGCTGCCTCAGCACATTCTTCTATACTGATATGTCTGCAAGTAATTATTCAATCAGTGAAAAACTAAACATTCTATTAATCCCGAATGATAATCCAACCCAAAGGGATTGATACGGTGGCCCGGAGAGGCCAAACGGACTGCAACTTCAGAAAACACTTGCAAAAAGAAAAATGCTGCAAAAAGAAAAACATGTCACTCCTGGACCAGGATGTTCTCCTTAAATTGCTGGCTGTCTGAGTGGTGTCCCAGAAATGATGTTGGCTTCTTAGATAATTGGCAAACCTTCTGGAGGAAACCTGGTCTTGTTAGGAGAGATGGCATCCATCCCACTTTGGATGGAGCAGCTCTCATTTCTAGAAATATGGACACATTTATTAAACCCCCCAAAATATGACTATCCAGAGTTGGGACAAGGAAGCAGAGTTGCAGTCTTACACGTCTCTCTGCAGCTTCTCTCCTCCTGAAACAGTGAAATGTGGATTATTAAATATTAGGTCTCTCTCCTCCAAGTCTCTGTTAGTACATGACTTAATAATTGATCAACAAATTGATTTACTCTGTCTTACAGAAACCTGGTTGCAGCAGGATGATTATGTTAGTTTAAATGAATCAACACCCCCGAGTCATTCTAACTACCAGAAATCTCAAAGCACAGGCCAAGGGGGCGGTGTTGCAGCAATTTTTCACACCAGCCTATCAATTAACGAAAGGCCAAGACAGACTTTTAATTCATTTGAAAGCCTGATGCTTA